TTTGGTGTCGGCGACATCAAAGCTTGGCGCCCTCCCTCTCTTGGGGTGCAGTACTACGATGCCGCTGGGGTCACTCCAACCCCCAGAACTGAGCCTCTACTTTAGTCAATCCTCTTTGCTCTACTCCATCTACGATCGGTAATTAGGATCTTTGACGAGCTCTTATATGGAAAATGGCGTTAATAACCGCCTACACGGTGGAAAGTGGCGTAAAGGCGCGGTGTTATGGCGTCGGGAGCCGAAAAGTGAAACTAGAGTTCAGTAACGACCTGAATAAATAAAAAAATGCTCATCCCAAGTAATAAATAATCAACTTGACATCGCTCGGACGTTGGGAATTTCAATAAATTCACCGATAACCAACTACAATCGACAAGTGTGGCCCATGAAAAACGTAGAGAAGACGTGTTCTTCATGAGTTGTAAACGTGTAGCGTGGACTTGAAACGATCTGGCCTTCGAAATATTTCTAAATACCAATAAATCAGTACCTATTTACCACCTTTGTATTTATTAATCACCGACAATTAGCATTGCTGTCACGTGCACTTGGAGCTATCAACATATTGAAAGGGTTAGTCCAGTAATTTCATATTCTTCTAACACACCAAAAACAATTGTAATAAGTTGCACTGGAAAAGTGGAGTAATCAATATTTCAAGAGTTTGATTCTTATCCCTGTAGTTTATTGAATGATTTCGTCAGTTTCATTGATTTGTGGAATATTTTAAACTAATGTTTAACGTCTTTCTTAGGAATCTAAGGGCAGAATGGAATCATCAAGTGACTTTCACTCCGAAATCACAACCTAACCTAACGATGAAACTCTGACACTCATCGAATATTGAAATTTACAATTACTCGATTGTAAAAATTCTTTGTTATTATTTTTTTTTGCGGATTTTTTGGGGCGAATAAGGAAAAATGTCGGCTAATGCACAGTTTGCCAGTCCTCCGCCAGCGATTAATTTACCGAATATGTCGGTACCACCGCCTACAACACCAAATTTATCAGCTCCTCCACCGAATTTAACGACAATTAGTACCTCTGGAGGTTATCAGCATCGGTTTAACAATCACAGGGAAGGACGAGGATTTTTTAAACCCTTCAGGCCTTATCATGCACCTAAAGTTATTTCTGGAGGACAGGATGCATTACAGGATGAGTTTGATGGGAAAAGGCTGAGGAAATCGGTTATGAGGAAAACTGTCGATTATAATTCGGCTATTATCAAGAGCTTAGAGGTATAATCAACAGGATTTTTCAATAATGAAGACAATGTTCAGTGACGATTCATTACTGTACAATGATAATTATATAGTTGGGATCTAATTGAAGGCGAAAAGTGGAGCCCTAAATTTTTGGTGCATTGTTTCAATAGTTTAGGGAAAATTGTCAAGAAATTTCGTTCTGTATTTCATTACGTTTTGCACAGAATAGGCAGACATTTTTCCCTGGAATCTTAGATTATTTAAATGATTTTAGAAGAAACAATTTGACAAACAATTCTTTAATAATAGAAGTATTCAATGATAAGTTTTCTTGCCCTATCCGTTTCTACCAAGTATTTTGTATCGAATACGGATCTACGATCAGAAAAATATCCAATTGTGATGAATTGCATCAAGAGTCTTGTTGAATGAAAGATTTTGTTTCCATGAATATTTAACATGATAATTTTGGAGGATAAAAATTAACTGAATGAAAAAGCGATCGGAACTTTTATGAAAAAATGATCAAATTTTTTCTGTAAAATTTGATAATGTTTAAAAATTTACTCTAACCCAGTAGTTTTAAAAGTATTTGCCAAGGTATTTTACCTTTTGCCTGGGGTTGTGAGTTTATCAATTTGAAAAAAAAAAAAACATTTTTCATGATAATTTTAGAATCGAGTTTGGCAGAGGGACTACAGAGATCGACGTGCACTTCAACCGGATGTTATGTACTATCCAGACCTCCTCCCACCACCTAGCTACGTCGACAATCCGATAAATGCTGTTACAACTCGTTTCGTTAAAACAGCAACAAATAAAATGCGTTGTCCTATTTTTTGCATGGCGTGGACGCCAGAGGGTAGAAGATTGGTCACCGGAGCATCCAGTGGAGAATTTACACTTTGGAATGGATTGACGTTCAATTTCGAAACGATTCTTCAGGTAAAACAACAGTAACAGACAAATAATGAACGAAACCTCTGGAAAATTAAAATCACGAGGAAAGGACGAAACATCTGTTATTAAAATTGGCCAGTTGTTGTTTTATAATGTTTTACCATGTGTTTTTCGTTTTGTTTTTGTTGAATAATTTGTTTAGGCTCATGACAGTCCGGTTAGAACGATGGTTTGGTCACACAACGAGAGCTGGATGGTGACTGGTGATCATGCTGGATACGTCAAGTACTGGCAGAGCAACATGAACAACGTTAAGATGTTTCAGGCCCACAAAGAAGCGATTAGAGGACTCAGGTATAACATCAACAACCACACTAGAAATTTTTGTCGGTTTTCTATTAAACTATTTATATTTTATATAAATTTCATCGTTATTATTCTTATAAGATATCTGATATTTTTTGTTCATATCCTTTTTATTAATCGGTATCCACCTTGAACCCTTTTCTGATAAGAGATGAAGAATAAATTGTTGAAAACATCCCCAATAACCCACGAGGAAGAAAAAATGAGAAGAAATTGCTTTATTTGAGCTCTGGATGAGTCCGGAGCGAACGGATTTGCAGATTATTTTGAGGGTATTTAAGGAAGGCCGGGCTTTAGAGGAATTTTACAACTTATTTTTTTTTTTCAAATTAACACCATGACTTTCATGCATTTTTTCATTGTCCATTGTAAAATCATCACGAAATATCATGAAACATCATGCGAAATGAAAAAGATTTTTCGGTATTCTCTAAATCCATTAGTTCCAACGATATTAACAAAATAATCTGAAACAAATTGTTTTTCTTTTCACTTTTCCGCGAATTTCAAAGTTCCATTTTTCTTTGAATAATAATCATCCCATTTATTTATTTATCTATTAGCAACTCCTCCGTCGATGAATTCCCTTTTTTTTTTACTTAATTTTTCGTTGACTATTTTCCAACTGCGTGAGATTTTTATAATGCGTCTAAAAATATTGGGAAAATGTATCTGCTGATAAATTAAAATAAAATGAGAAAAATATATATATAATTTTATATTTATATATTATATATATATATATTACTGATATATGGAGCCACCCAATTCTCAAGTATTTCCTACTTTTTGAAATGCATCAATAAAGAATACTATGATCCTGCCTCCTTGTTACGTCGTTTTCCATAACAATAAAATTGAACTTATATTTTATCAAATATGAATTACAATTTTGTTTTCAAATAAAGATCGATGTTTTTTTAATGATTGCGAGCATGAAAGAAGAAGAAAATAAATAAATAATTGAAAAATTCGTTTTCACGGGCTCGTAGGGATGTAATGGACATGAATGTGTGTGAGTGCAAACAATTATCGAACAATATAAATGATTAAATTTATTTTCAAGACACTCAATGTACGTTTCTTCTTCTCGTCCGCTGTTTGTTGTAATATTCATGGAGAATTTATTAAATTTCACTGAATTCAGAAAAAAAAAAACACTTGAGAACATTGTCCTATGGTCATGTGTGGCATCGAATTGATCGAATTGATCATGTCAATATATACAAAAAGTATGTAGTAAATAACAAAAAAAAAAAAGTAACAGTTCCACCTATTTTGTTTCTCCTTTTGGTTTGTTTTTGAATATCAAAGAATTGACTCTAGTCTATTTAACTTTGAGTACTATTTTCATTACAATTTTTTCAGTTTCTCATTATCTTTTGAAATTTCGAATGCCAGATATGACTGTCGGCAGTGAATTATTGTTCGCCCGTAGCAGCTCCCTCATATTTGAAAACAAATCTTCATAAATTTTATCTGCATTTTAATTCCATGTGGAATTCCAGTGAAGGTTGATCATGGGTGTAGATTATTCATTCTCGTTGATTTTGAATTTATCTCCGATGTACGAAGGATAGAAAATTATTATACAGACGAAATCCATTGCAAAAATATCAATTAAACATTTGCCCCTTCTCTTCCGTTTTCACTACTGAAATAATAATAATCAACAAATGTATTAAAAAATCGTCATATCGATACCGAGTGATTTAAAGAAATGAGGAAATATCCATTTTTGCACAAATTTTATGAAATTTTCCGTGTGAAAGGCTCAAGGCATTAATTACCGCATCATAACCGAGATAATTTCTTAATTAACAGAATTGAAGTAATCGACAGGTTCTATCAAGCCTGAGTTGGCCGCTGCTGAATTAAATACAAAAATTAAACATTTATATTAGCAATTAATTATTTAAATGAAACTCTAAGTCTCTCTCGTACACCCACAAAAGTAATCACGTGAATATAACGTGATAATAATTAAAATATCGACAAAAATCTAACGTGAACGTAAGAGCGGTAATCATTGTATTTTTTCGACCGGTAGTTTCAGTCCAACGGATCACAAATTGGCGACGTGCAGTGATGATGGAACCGTGAGGATTTGGGACTTTTTACGATGTCACGAGGAGAGAATTCTCAGGGGTATAAAAATTTTTATTTACACAACAAAATTATACAGTCGTTAAATATCTCGAAATCTGAGAGAAACACAATTTTCAATTATAATTGTCATTTCTGTCTCTAGATTCCAAGATATTTCCAGACAATCAACAATTGAATCAACTGATTAAACAAATCAAGTTGATAAATCGATTGATTATTCAATATTCATTATATGCTTCACTATAATTGACTAATTATTGAATATTTGATAATAACTAATTGTTATTGATAAATAAGGATTTAATGGAGTTAATCGACTCGGCGTGCTTAATTGTGATAATTTTTATTGTTGATCGGATGATTAAGAAAATGAATAATTGTCTTTAGGGCATGGAGCAGACGTGAAGTGTGTGCACTGGCATCCGCAGAAGAGTCTAGTCATCTCTGGGAGTAAAGACAATCAGCAGCCTGTGAAGCTATGGGATCCGAAAACTGGACAGTCTCTTGCTACTCTTCATGCACACAAGAGCACTGTGATGGACGTCAAGTGGAATGAGAACGGCAACTGGCTGGTAACAGCCTCCAGAGATCACCTCCTCAAGCTTTTTGATTTGCGAAATTTGAGTCAAGAGGTGCAAACATTCAGAGGACACAAGAAAGAGGCATCCAGTGTTGCCTGGCATCCCAGCCATGAGGGACTATTCTGTAGCGGAGGAAGTGATGGCGCTATATTATTTTGGCATGTTGGGTAAATAAATTCATTTTATCTAATCAAAACGAACGTACTAATTAATTATAAGTCGTCAGAATGTTTTGTAATCGAAAGATGCCTGATAATTACTTCATCAGGTGACCATAATGTTTTCATTATAGTAGAAAAGGTTTCGGTTGAAGGAAATTTTTTGATGATTTTTTCCCCGAAGGTTCTGAAAATTCTGTTTAAAAATAGTTTATTGATATTCATTCTGTGATTTTTATCTATCGGGCACTCTAAATTAAAAAATAATAAAAAATACATAGCTCATTATATATGTCATATATAGATGTATATATATCTGATATATAATTGCGGCCACAAATGCAATGTGTCACATCATGGTAAGCTACGTATTTTTTATCATTTATTAGTAAACTTGATAGATCCCTTTTAAACAATATCGCTCTTTAGCGGCCTTCAATAATTTTTCCTCTTTTTTTTCCTTATTTTTTTATGTCCATTCAAATGCTTCCCGCGACACAAATTTGATCCCCAATTTTAATGTATTTGAGGCTAAAATGATCAAATCTAAATAAAGATGACGTTCGATAGATGGTCCACCCCAGTCTTAATTATCATCTCGTAGAGTTATTAAAGTTTTTCCAGTTTTCACTGTAGTGTCACGCTCCAAAATTCACTTTTATTCCCAATTATTGCAGCGTTCGATGTAATTTACGAGGATTATCATTTATTATAGATCATATATAGATCATTTTAAAGGTCTCAACGAGCCCTTTACAGAGTTCTTTGAATTCTCGAATTCCTTCAATTTAATCAGGAGTTATCGATGATAATGCGTCGAATTTCCCATGTGACATTTAGAAAAAAATTAATCCCGTTTAACTAAAATCTATAACAACCTTTATCATCGCAAATACTCATGTATTTGGGATTTCATCTTGATGAAAAAACGTTTAATATTCAATTTTCTTATCAACATACGACTAATTAGATTCAATGACATGCAAACTAGTGATCCAACTACTTGATAATATTAATAGGAAAAATAGGAGAGATTATTGAGGATATTTTCTTGACGTTTACAGAGCTGATAAGGAAGTGGGGGCTATTGAACAGGCTCATGACAGCATTGTATGGACATTGGCGTGGCATCCATTAGGTCATATCCTCTGTTCAGGGAGTAATGATCACACGTCTAAATTTTGGACGAGAAACAGACCAGGAGATCTCATGAGAGACAAATACAATCTCAATACTCTACCTGCCGGTGCTTGCGGAATTGATGATCACGAAATCGGTAATTAGATCACTTTCATTCATTAGTGCTCCCTCAACAATCCACATCCACATTTTCAAGTTTAAGGCTCCGGTGGATTATCTAGAAAAGATCATTTACTCCGAAATTTGGATTCCTAATTACTTTGGCAATTAATCGTTTTTTTCAATAATTGTTAGCTAGCGTTTTAGCGGTTGTCAACAATTAGGGCGCTAGTTAACAATTATTGGAAAAAATTATTAATTGACGGAGTAATTCGAAGTCCCAATTTTGGAGTAAATTATCTTTTCCAGATAGTCCATTCGGGCCTTAAGATGTAAAATTTTCTACATTTTGAATATTTACTCCAGTCCACCCGAGCCTTAAAGTTATTTCTCACCCATTTTTAGGCCTGATTATCAAGATTTAATATTTGTAATTGTTATTTCTCCAGCTGATGAAGCTGCAGTGATCCCTGGAATGGGTCCAGAAGACAAAATTAATGCGGATATCGAAATGGAGGAGGAGAATAATTCAACTATCTCAGGAATCCCCGGGTTGGATCTTGATCATACTGCTGATGACAGTAAGAAACTGGCGAGCAAGAAAGTTCCATATTCCAAGCCAATTCCAAGGAATTTCCAAGCTCAATGGAATGAAATGGAGGCTGAAGATCCAGAACAAGTTGAGGCTTTAAATGCCATCGTTAATCAGCTGATTGAAACGACCCCGGGAGCTGTACCTCTCAATGAAGTCACACCAAATGCCATTATTTTGTACGGAAAAATGGTCCCCGTTGAACGTAAGAATATTTTCATTTCTTCAATTTGAATTCCATTTTTATTTTTTTATGATGCCACATTGGATCCTTCAAAAAAAGATAAAAAGATAAAATTTAAACAAAAGTCGACGTTTGATAGATTGTCCACCCGGACTTTAAAATTTTATAAGAAAACTCTATTATTGCTATTATTTAGATCATTTAATAAAAAATTTCGGATTTTTTTTGTAGAGTCTCTCGAAAAATAAAACTCTTTTATCTAATCTTCACGTCTATGTTTCCAGCTGGTTCGAAGCTAGCCGATGCAATTCTGAAAGGCAACGACGCCATAAATAAACTGGTTACCGCCGGTGAAATAGAAGAGCTGAAAGACGTAGCGCTGACAACCCCTGAGCCTGTCGCTGATCCTGAAGACTTTCTGCAGGACGAAGGTGAAATCGATTACTCAAAAGTGCCAGATATTGATCTACCAGCACCACTTCCCTCCTCGAAATTTGCCCAGAATCCAGAGCTCCTGAAGGCCTTGAATCGCGGAGGAAAACGAAAGTTCGATCAATTGATCGGTTGGTCAGACAACGAGAGAAATTCTCGCCTCCATCAGCCAGTGTTTGGAGGTTCGATGCTGGAGGACTCCTGCAACAGCGACACAGATCTCCGTCACATGATGAACATAACAGGCGTCGATATGGCAGCATATCTAGCCCAGGATGAGGATCTCAGAAGATTAAACAGCCTAGACCGAATGAATAATATAGGTAGCATGAATACCAATAGCATAAATAGGGATGAGGACATGCGCTTTGGGGGCGGCTCGAGTGGTCCAGGAAGGCCTGATTTCGATGGACGGAATTCATTTGGGGATCGAGACTTTCGTCTCAACATCCCACCACCCAATTTCAAATCCTCTAATCAAGATGGAGACAGCTTTGGAGACAGTGACAGCAGACCTCGACCCTGGGATGATGACAAGGATAATCGAAATTTCGATAAACGAGACATGTTGTCCTCGTCTCTTGGTAATAATTCCCAGTTGGGCTCATTATCCCTGCAGATGGGGGGACTTTCATCAAGCTCCAGTCATCTTAACACGAATCATCACAATATGCAGAATATCTCACCCAATATGCCACCAACGATGAACCTCTCAACCAATTTGGCCCTCAATCCCACTCTTCAAAATAAAACAAATAATCTCCTGAATAGTGGCATCACCGATGGTCTACCACCTCACATGATGCATCTACCACCGAATTTTGGGCCAAATGGACCCAATCCGTCCCAATTACCCCCCAACTTCAATCCCAATTTTCGACCTCCTAATGGAAATTTCCCTGGGAATCATCAGTTCAGGCAAATGGGACCCTTTGCACACAATAATTTTGGTAATTTTCAGGGTCCACCGGGATTCAGGTGTCCCAATCCAAATAATCCACCCCCCAATTTCGAGAGGGGCAACTTTGGTCCCAATTTTCGGGGACAGATGGGTGGTAATGGTGGAAATAGTGGAGGATTTAATTCGGGTTTCAATAATAAAAATTTTGGGGGAGGAAATAATGGAGGTGGTAAAAATGGTGGCAGAGGTATGGGGAGGAATAATGACAATAACAGGAGTAATTATGGAGGGAGAGGGAGAGGACGGGATGGTGAAGGATCGAGGGGTTCCAGGGGGAGGGATAATTATTGATGATGTTTGGTGTGTCCTCTGGAGTTAATCAGCAATGTGAGAGGAGTGATGCGTAGTGATCGATGTTTTTTTTTCTCGTTCATTTGAGGACTCAGGAAAAGTGAAAGAAAATTGATTAAATTGGGCTTCTCTCCATTTTAGAGAAGAAATTGTAATATAAATTGTAACATTACAGTCGATTTATGATTTTATGATTGTTCAATTGTAAGTGATGATTCATAAATTTTCACGAAGATGCCTTGGAACGGTGAGGGATTCCGAGGATGGTTTGTGAGTGTGCACTGAGGAATGCGTGGGAGTTTAATCAATTAAGATGTTTATTTAATAAAATCGAAAGTATATCGAGCAATGGTTTTTCATATTTTATTTTACATTTTCTTGCGGACTCAGCGGAGGAATAATATTCAATTACGAGTTAATTGCTTCCTCAATTCAACAATGCAAATACTTAAAAAAAAAACATTTCAAATATTTAATTGCTAATTAGCAGTTGATTCTCACTTCCACGAATAAATTTCGTACAAAAATAGTCTCTCCACATTTTGTTCCGAAATTCTCCTTTATGATTGTCAAAAGGAAGAAGCTAGGACCAAATGAAAAAACTCAATATCACAAAATGTCCTCAGGGTGACTTCATCGGATCACTCAACTAAAAATCCAGTCAGTAAATACCCGCCTAAATCATTCATCATGATTTCCGGATGTGTCCTATTGGGTAATACCTGGTAGCCCCTAAAAAAATTACTAAACAGTCTCAAATTGACGATATCCTTCCGCTGCTTGAGTGCCACATAAGTTTCCTGGAGTGGCTCCCTGTGACAATGATAAATTATAAAAGGTCTTGACATCCCAAGGAAAGAAAGAAGACTCTTAACAATACTGAATGGATGTTCCTTAGTCACAATAATTAAACCATCAGCCTTTCCCTCTTTGAAACAGCTAACAGCATTTTTCGTTTCTCTGAACCATTTCGGTTCTTTGAAACCCTCAGGAACACTGCAAACTCCATTCAGCACTCTTTCCATTGTTTCTTCATTATTTTCATCATTTTTATCGACCTTTTCGGTCGAAACTCCATTCTCCTCCATCTTATCTAATTTTAATTTTTTAGCAGGTATAATTTCTTCAGGTGTCTGCATCTCCCTCGTCTTCTTCCAGTGACAATGTTTTTTTACAAGTTCTCTCATGATTTGGTCCTCACCCTGATGATAAATCCGGAGGAAGGTGAAGAGATTCGCAACCATCATCCTTTTTAGCTGTTCCTCTGGATAATTCATGGCCTGCACCAACATCAGTTGTGCCTGATTGCCAGGATACAGATATGTCAAACTACCACTGGTACCTGCACCAATTCTATTTAACAATGCAGCAGCTGACAATCCGGATGTGCCGCTGTCATACAACAAGAATTTCCCCTCAGACCTGACATCTGAGTACGATAAAATCTGAGAAAGTGTGTCCATCCGCAAGAAATTTATCTTGGAGGAATCCTGGCGAAAATAAATCTCCTGTATCATGGATATCGAGGGCTTTTTCATAGTCAAATACCTGCAGTATTTTTTCTCTTTTTTTTTTATGTATTTTTCCTGGGAGAATTCGGTTTTAGTGGCGAAGGAGGTGCTATTAGAGATGAGAGAAGTAACGATTTCTTTGCTTGATTTTCCAGCATCTCTCAGGTCTTCTATTTCTTCTTTAGAGAGTTTTTGGGATGTGCCGTCATCGGTTATTGATCTGTTGTCAGTTCCACTGGACATGCCTTGCCGAATGTCTTCCATCGTTTCAGCTTTCAATGCCACCTCCAAGGAGACGTGCTTTTTGGAGATTTTTGAGGGGAACATCTTGAAGGTTGTCCAGTAAGGTTTGTTCACGAGGTCCTCCATTTGTACTTGCTCTTTTCCTAATGTGAATGTACCTTTTTCTGTTATTTTGCAGAGCTTGCGGAAATTCTGTTTCTCGATTACTACGTAGTTGCCTGGCTGAACTGTTTCCTCGGGGCTTTGCTCACCCATTTTAGTAGGGGTTTTGGATAATTATAGGGATGGAATTAGGAAGGTAGTGAGGTTAGCTGGTATTTTCTTTAGTGTCGTCGAGGAGTTTGGGGGTTAGGAAATCACACACGTGTCTTCGCTGAAACTCCCTCTAACTTTGAATCGATGGCTAAGTCATTTGGTGTAATCGGTGTAGTCGAATTAGACCAAAAAATGGCCCAACTGGAAAATTAATTCACTATTGATAAAAAAATATTCATTCAATAGTTAAAAAAAGTCCCCAATCACATATCAAAATGATAAAAAAAAAAATCGGTGCAGAAGATATCGAAAAAAATTATAAAACGATTGGTTTTTGTAGGGGCTCATAACAAAAGCTGTCGTAGTTGCAATAAAAATCACTGGATTCAAAAAAAAAAACAATTGTAGATAATGAAATTTCACACCGAAATAATGTAGGAAACAATGCTGTAGAATATGTCTTCTTTTTGGCAAAAATTCCTGAAGATTGTTCAATTCTAACTACGCAATATTCTCCCCAATCCTTCTCTGCGCACGCGCTTCAATGGAAAGAGCGCTATGCACAGTAGATTCAAATCTTTATGCGTACGATTACTGAATGAACTGCGTAATATTTTTGTGGCCTCATTAATCATAACATTTAATCAATTTTCCTTAAAAATGTAGAAGCCCCAACGATGTAGAAGCCCCAGTAGTCAAACTTTTAAAGACACCCATTTGTTGAGAAATTTTCAAGTAATTTAAAAGAATTTATGAATAGGTGACGTTTGTAATTTTGATTGAGAGGCTTAATTTAGTCCGTTTAATCTTCGTCTATATATTTACAGGTTAGGTCATAATAATAATAATTATGAGCGACGGCTAATGGAATTTGGGATTCCTTGTATATACCTCCAAATTTCCTCGGAGGAAATTTCTTGAACCCTGCGTTTTCCCGAATGAACGGACAAGTTCATCTTCTACTACTTTCCAGAATGATCCTAATGAAGCTGCATACTTGGATTAATCAGTTTACTCACCCCAATTTATTTATGAATTTTCCAGAATAATTAATTAGGCGTACATTACAACCGGATGCTACCAGTACCAGCACAATCATCACCATCAACTAATTATGTGGAACAATTTGTCTTCGAGGAGAATTATTTTTTATGAGGCAGAACTTATTGGTAAATTCTGTGGGGCAGATACTCGTGAAATCTATTTCGAAATACTGGACTAGAATCTTCTGCAGTTAATGAAGGGGCATTAATTCACCCGGTTTGCATTAACTATTGCGAATCCCGGAAAAAATATCCCAGGGAAAAAATATCCCACACATTCAAAATGTGTTAAAACTCGCTCAATTTAATTATTTTTTAATTTAATTATTTTTTTCGTTGTCTATTTTTTCAGGGACTCTAATTTTCCTATGGTCTATCAAATTCGGTGGGTTTTAACACGTTTTGGGTGTGTGGGCTATTTTTTCCGGGGATATTTTTTCCGCCTACCAACTATTGCCTACTTGAACACGGAACAGAACAAAATGTAAACACGTCTAACTCAGCCGATAGTTAGTGACCGAATGCAAATTTTTACTGATTAATGAACATTTGTATTATTAGATTTCATCCTCATTTGTCATGTCCATCATTTTTTTTGTTTGGATAATGAAAAAAACATAGAATTAAACGCTTATGTAAATAATAGAGGGCTATAGGACATATACGCTTAGATAAATGAAATAATTATAATTAAATGAATTACGAAATCAAATGAATATTCAAATGAATTTGGAGGTCCTCCGGTTCGCCTGTCTCCCCTATAAATTATTTATTGATTTTCAAAAATCATCCTTTCATTATTTTATAATGAAAATTAAAGAATCTTCAAAATTTATGTACCGTAAGACAACTATCCTCAAGTTAAAATTCAATCCAGATATTATTAAAATCACATGTTCTCAATTCGGAGAACTATTTCTCCTTCGAAAAAATTTCAAATAATCGTATCTATAATATGATAATTCCCGAGGGGAGATACAGCCCTGAAAACAATCCGATATCTTCTGGTCATACTATTTGTAGAAGATACCGCTGGAAACGAATAGAATGTATTGAGCTCACAACTACAACAAAATGTGTAAATATTCAAATGATATTGCCGCATTAGAGGCCAGTAACCCTCTGTACGAGTAAATGATCAGTGAATCTTGGGAATTCAAGAGCGAAGGTTACTCCATTTATTCATACAAATCCAGAAGCTGGAAATATTTTGGAAGAGGATCAAATCTTTAATTTATTAGATAATCAACGGTTTGACATCTCTGTGTTCAAATATTTAAAGAATCGGTTTTTCAAATCTATTCTATTTCAATTGATGTACCCGCGAAATTCAAAACAATTCACAAGATCTCCGCCAATTTTTTAAAATTTTATTGATTTGTTTCGTTGAAACCATTTATTCCGTTTGATTGTTATTAATTTCTGGTATTGGACAGAATGAAGAATTCTGAGATGATTTCAGTGTTTGTTATAATCATAAATTTGGTGCTGAGTTCGCCAATTGCGGGAAAGTGTCCGGGTGACAATGAAGTACAGAAATTGGATTTAAATGAGGTACCGAAAAATCCATTCTATCATTATTTTCTACACTGAGAGAAATATTCAATAAAAATTACGTGTATTTTCCGTAATTCTGGAGCGAAATGTGGTTGTCGGAAATTTTACGGAACTGTCACGTAATTTTCATCTAAAGTCACGGAATTTTTCCGCGGTGTTCCGTAATTTTTATCTGAATTATCGGTGAAAAATAACGATACCGTCACTCAAATTTTTCGAATCAACTCCGTAATCGGTAAGTGAACTGAAAATTCCGTAATTTTTACTAAATATTTCTCTCCGTGTACGGGATATGTTAGATTAACTGAAATTTTATTGTTTATTGTATTTTATTTATTTCACAGGCTTTTCAATATGCTAAAAATGTGCATGAAACATGCATTTTATAAAAAAAGGGCCCATTTTAGGGGTATTGGACTGATTTAGATATGTATATTTGATGAAATTTGAAATATTTTGAGAATTCACGCGTCCTCTGGGATGGGAAAACCGCGGAGTTATAGACCTTCAAAGTTGAAAATGCAAAAGATTTTAAGAGAAATTCAACAACAGCCAAAATTAACGGTTTTTCATTTTTATGGCAAATTTTCGAATTTTTTTTATTTATCGAATGTCATCTTTTGTTTAAATTTTATCTTTTTAGCCTAAAATACATTAAAATTTGGGATTAAATTTGTGTTGCGGGAGCCTTTGGGCCTTTTTCCATTTTTCTTCCGCAGTAATAGGTTTGAAAATATAAAGCTTGAATTTACGTAGGCGAAATCGTGCAGAAAATTGTTGTCTTTTATATGAGGGATTACAAAAAAGTAAATTTAATGACAGTTTTTAGGCAATTGGTACATGGTTGCTGGAACTCCTGTGAGCGGAAAAAAAGTGAGTAAATGCTGTCATTTTGAAGTGAAACGCACGTCAGATGATACATTTACTATGAATTATACCGCTGTTAGCCACAGAAAAAATCGGCCAGTTGTTTTTACCGTAAACGCCAGGGCAGATGACAACGTCACCGGAAATTGGCAACTGCAAGGATCTACCAAAATTCTGGGTAAATTTCATTTATAACATAGTGTTGTCTATTTGATGTCTGATCCTCCTTACTTTACTTTACCCTCTTAACATGTACCTAATAACAAGGAAGATCAATTCCGAAGATACAAATTGTACATACATAAATAATAGATTCAATAGCAAATCCATCTCGAAATACTCGATGAATTTTAAACGCTGAAACTTCTGTTCTGATTGTGAAATATTAAAGTTCAACATGTGTAGGAAATCCTTATTATGTCCCTATTATGAAAGTAGAAACACAAAAATGAAGTTTGCCCGAGTCGAAATCTCTCGAAACGTGCAGGACTAATTCCTCATTGGTCGAGTCGAACCGCCAAATTCAAATTCGGCGCACGCAGTGCGCAGTAGATCTCGTCCTTATTATGAAAGTAGAAACACAAAAATGAAGTTCGCCCGAATCGAAGTATCTCGAACCGCGTAGAACTAATTTTTCATTGGTCGAGTCGAACCGCCAAATTCAAATTCGGCGCACGGAGTTCGCAGTGGGTCTCGTATCTATCAAATCAGTATAAAAAGATTACATCATGGACGGAAATCATGAATTTGGTAATTTTCCCACTGCTTCGAAAATCCAATTATCGAAATGACCCTAAACCCCGTCTACTCTGATTAGCCAAGATTAAATTGGAAGAGCTGTTCTATTTTTGGATAATCAAGCGTGGTTGACGGTTTAGAAACAATTAACATTAAAAAATAAATAAATGAATAAATAAATGAACGAATTTCCCATGAGAGTTGTTAGTTTGAATTTACGCTCAAATGATCGAAAATTAATAGTTAATTATCTGTAGGACAGCAATAATTTCCCTCAGCCTCACTTTCCATCTTTCATCCTCGCCCGATCACTCAATTTGTTTAAAATTTACACCCTTCATTTCCTATAATTATACTTTCATTGTTTCAGGCCCATTCAGACATCGAGTGATTTCCGCAAATTACGCTTCATATATCGTCTTCGTTGTTTGTGGAGACAGCAATCAGATCATTCCAACCCGTGAATTCGGAATGATTTGGTCTCGTGAGAAAAATTTAAATCCTACAGTTTTAAAACAACTCAAAAGACATTTATCTCACTATTTTCATGGAGAAGATATACTCGATGTTAATCAAACCGACTGTTAGCTTAATTTTATCTTTCATATATCTATATGTCTCAACTTGTTTCCTCGGCGGGAAATCTAAATAAAGATATTGTTCATAGAGCTATTTTTTTCTCTCACTAGATGAATTCAAAATCAAAATCAAAGGCATTTATTGATAAAATAACTAATTCTTTAGGAAATGTGGAGTCAAGTACGAAAGTGGCGTAATTTTGAAAGAAGTATGACGGTTTCTAGTAAATATTAATGATAATAAATATAAATGTTAAAATAAAAGTATTATTTCTGGATATGAATATTTTTTTTAACTCGCAAAATAGCCCTTCGTCATTGATAGAAACTGGAAATCTATTTAAATGGCGTTTAATAATTTTTTAACGAAAATCTGGGTAGTCTACTGCGATGGGAGTCTTAATAGTATTCTTCATATCTAGGATGAAAAAAATGTTAAATACAAATGACCCTCAAGTTTTTAGATAATTAAACCTTTTATTTTTCTCCGTAAAAAATATTTTAAATCTACGATGCACATTGGCGCGCATAAAAATATACTATTGCGCGTGCGCCACGTGGTGTAGTGGGGAGTCTTCGGTTCAACCAAAACTTTCGCCTAATTTTCGTTCATTTCCGTTGGAGCAACAGACTAGATCGGTGTTCGTCATTCCTCTGGTTCCAAGGTAAAATTTCTGCATCCAATATTTCGTAAATCATTCGTTTTAATTCACATCCACAAACATCCCTGAAATTATGGCATCCTACTGGATATTGATACATGATGTTCGTTCTGTAATATTGAAACCTCCGATATTTAACAATAGTTCTTGGATTTGATTTATTTTATTTCGATCTGATGCGTTAAAGTTTTTGCTCTCATGATGATACCTTAGTCTCGTTCGTATGATATTTCGTATGATTATAATCATCAAACATCACTGATAATTCTTTCCACAATTTCGTTCTTTTATCTGAGATTATATATATAATAAATTTCTGTATTTTTTATTTTTTCAGACGACGCGGCAATGCACGTGGGACGCTTTGATTTTTTGAGGTTAAAAGTGGACGCAATTATGAATCTAAAGTAAGCTTCCTTTTCTCCCTTTCCTGAAATATTCGCGGTTACATAAATATTGCAATAGAGAACTTCCAATGAATTATTCTTGGAATGAAATAAACACGAAAGGCAATTGAACGATTGGGATTGAAGGGTTTTTCTCTTTGTAAGCAATATATTCCGGCAATTTATGAACCACGGATAGAATATCCTGTATGTTGATAAGGATTGGGTTTATTGTGAAAGTTTAATTTTTTCTACTTTAGGGTCAGCATTTACATAATTTTTTTTTGTTCATTATCTTTTATTCTGTGATGCTATTTATACCGCCCCAGTCTGATGTTTTCTATGACTGATTGGTTTTAAAATCTGAAGAATTCTCATAAAAATTCGGTGTTTGTATTAAAATTGGAAAGAAATATACATTTAAAATAAATAGATTGATTTTTATTCTTATTTACAGATACTCTTTCCAAATCAAGTGAGAAGGGACTGAAACTAATGCGAATGATGGACCCAAATCAATGTAAGAAGAATATCTGATCTGAATATTTTTTATTTTTCAAAATGATGCTAGTAATACCGCCCCAGTCTGATTTGTTTCATGACTGATTGGTTTTTTATATCTGATGAAGTAAAAAAATATATATATATAATTATTTACAATAAGACGTAACAAATTGTTGCTTGTAACTCTTTTGTTTCTTGTCTTTACAGAAAATCTACATCAATCACGAGGTGAACCTGAGGTTATTGATGGGAATTAATGCAAGTGAGTTGATTTTTGAAACTAATTCAAGAAAATAGAAAAACTTTATAGCTGTAAAATCCAAATATCTTTTTTTCATTGGAAAATTAATGTGATGAGTACTACAAACGCCCCAGTCAATCAGAAGGAATAGTGGCGACATTGTTTGTTCTGACATCGTAATAAACTAAATTCCATTATCTTATTCTCTCCTTTAAATTAATTCGACCCTTCTATATTTTTTTTCACAGTTTCTCTGGTCTTCATGAAGAAAGCATGTATCCAGATGGTGAACTGCACGTTGCGGGACAATCTCAGAGTGTTCTCTTCGTCATCAGGAAGTAATTAATGTAAGAATACAGAATGCTAAACATTTTCTACATGAGAACATAAGAAAAAAAAATGTGATCATTCTGCTAATGGCTTAGGCGTGATCGATTCGTTTATGATGTGAAGAGTTTGCTGAAGAATTTGTAAAAACCTTTTTTTATTATAGTTTTATTTAATCTGCGTTAGACTATAGTCTTAATCTCATTGAAATTTTCTGCCCCTCTCGATTCATAGAATCATTAGTGGATGATCCCCAAACATTTTTTTCTTTCAAAGTGATGAATATTTAGTTATCCCTGTCATACATAAGCACATGGTGAGATCTATTGGTATCTGAAACTAACTCAACGAAGAGTTTTCTTTTATCTCGTCTTATCTGGTTTATTAATTACGTATCTCGTTGTTACAGATTTATGCCAAGGATTCTGTTGATTTGATGAGCTCCAGAGATATTCAATTAATAGTAAGATATCGATTTTATTAAATTGCCTAAACATATTTATTCTTTATTAATCTATTGAAATTTACATGATGTTTACAATTGACAAGCATATTACTGAAATCAGTCTTGATGTTCACTAGGACTCTGATAAAATTATAGATCAATTATTCCATTATTCAATAAGGGTGGAACGATTATTGAATTATTTCTTTCTCCATTACAGTTGGCGTAATTCAACTACCCCTTAGGAGAGACATCTGAGAGATCTGATAATCTCTTCCGACAACAGGTGAATATTCAATAAATACTGATTATTAAATTCTGTAAAGAAGTGGTTTACAAATTGAAAAAGTTCCAGCATTCTCTAGATTTTGTGAAAATAATCCGTTCGTATTCTCTTCTCATACATTCATCTAGATAATTTTTCAATACAGAATTATGGTTTACAAGACTGGGAATATCTGTAGATTATGGTGATTATCTCCAAAATAAATTAGATGACGAGAAAATATTTTAGGACATTTTCTATTCAACATTGCAGTCTGTGAACTGCTGTTTTCCTTGGAATCTATCTATCCTGGACCACTTCCGTACAGAATTTCGTTAATAACAAATGTCTTTCATGATGATATAAACATATACGCTATTATGACTTACCGAGTATGATTAGTACTTGCCCTCACTGAAATTACCCTCAACATATTCTTCCTCATAAAAATCCTTGGCAATCGATTTATAATTATCTCTCCTTCATTTACAGATCGTCAAAAAGGAATTTCGACAATTCCAGAGTTATCAACAAATTAAACACAGCTGCAAATCTATATGGTAAGGTGACTAATAAAATTGACGGTAACTTGATTTTTAATCTCTTAAAATGATGTTTCATCTTAATATACGCTATGAAAATAATGAAATTGAGTTATATTCTGAATTAAAGCAATTAGATAAAGAAAAATGTAAACAATAATAACATAAATACATTTATTTCTTCTTTCGTATTTCAGGTGAAAGCTACCAACAAATATCAACTTAATATACTTGAAGAATCAATCAACAAATGTGAACTAAACTTATAACGACCTTTGGTAAATAAAATTTTTAATAATAAAGTCATGATTATGTGCATTTTTTGATTCTCATAGTCTAAATTAATTTTACAACCAGACGAATCAATTTTCTTCACTGATATAATATAAGTAAAATGCAAAGATCTGGTTAATTCAAATAATTATAAATAACTTTCGGTGGATTAAATGCAATGATGGAGACAAAGATAAAAAATAAAATGCATTTTGCCTGTTTAACTTTGTTCTATTACGGTTCGTGATTCTTTTTTGGGTGTTGAGTGAAAAAGAGTTTGACCAGGCACTTGGGCGCACATTTTACTTTACAAATTGTTGATATCAGAAGCCAAGAGACTCCAAACGCTTTCCAATCCGAAGATATTCCATTATTTACAATTAAGAGCAAGTGAATAGCTGCAAGTGACATTTATTTCACTAGCTAGTGGGTCAATAGCGTTTCTCTGGAGACATGACTTGAATGACAAACTAAAGACGTAGAGAAGTTGTAGCAGGTCAAGTCAATCTAGTTGCTTCGTTAATTGATTCATTATCTTGAGAATGAGTCGGTCTATGCAGAAGAAAATATATTTTCACCAAGCATCCGTTTACTCGAGCGAAGTTTTCCAACGTCTCCTCCAAGGCATCTCCATTAATTTTCACTTGCGCCAATTATATTACTCTCGAAGATGATCCTATCAATTATAACTGAGTGGATTTTCTCCGTAAGTAGTAAGACTTAAAAAATCTTGAGAATTTTTCAGATTAAAAAATTTGAAATTAATAATCATGGGAAAATCCATTTAATGTCACATCCAGCATGATCATCTTTGAGAGCAAGATGATTGTGATAATTAATATCTTATCCGGAATGGCTTTAGCTTGGCTGGAAAAATACGACATCCGAAACGTGAATGTTTTGCTCAGAGAAATTGATATTTGGCAGAAACAAATTCTTTTCTTACGGTTGTAGGAGTATTTTCAGTGAAAGGTCGATTGTGTAGGCTTAAGGATGTTTTTCAAAAAAATCGCAAATCTTCATGAAAAATTGTTTCATTTTAATTGAGAAATTATTGCCTTTATCTTGATAAAACGCTTTCATTTCACGAACAAAATTTATTTTTGTAAATTAAAGTGCAGAAAGGGAGACCCAATATATGAGTTAAGGCCCAGGTGGACTATCTATCGAACGTCAACTTTTGTTTAAATTTTATCTTTTTAGCCTGAAATTCATTAAAATTTGGGATCAAATTTTTGTAGCGGGAACTACTCGAATGGTTATAAACAAATAATGAAAAAAAAGAGGAAAAATTATTGAAGGGCGTTGAAGATCGATATTATTTAAAAGGAATTTACCAAGTTTGCTAAAAAATAATAAAAAATACGTAGCTTACTATTGCATCTAGCTGCCACTCAATCTTCTGGAGAGCAATGCTAAGCCGCGTAATTTTTATTATTTTTTTGTAAACGTGGTAGATCCCTTTTGAACAATATCGCTCTTTAGCGCCCTTCAATAATTTTTCCTCTTTTTTTTCATTATTTGTTTATAACCATTCGAGTAGTTACCGCTATAAAAATTTGTTCCTAAATTTTAATGTATTTCAGGCTAAAAAGATAAAATTTAAACAAAAGTCGACGTTCGATAGATAGTCCACCTGGGCCTTAATGTTTTTATGGGATAGAATTTTTCTAATATTTCTTTTTCTCCGCACTCCAGATTTTCCCCTCGGCTTTGCAGTCAGAATATTTTTGCACATTACTTCGTATTTTGTTAATATTTTTAGTCTTCTGGTTGGTGAACTATCAATTTCTAGATAAATTTCATGTCCTGTGTTTAACTGAGACTTTTGCGACTAATTTTTATATCAACAAAGCTAGATTCACATGTCGCGTTATTAGCGAGAAAAATCATAGAATTATTCCTGAGCGCAAAAAAATGAGATTCGTCAAAAATTGTTAAATATTCTTAATAATTTCTTTAAAAATTGCTCGATTCATGCAACTTTGATATGCCACATGTGATTGGCTGCTAATTTCTCTATTTATCAATAATGTTCCAATATTCTCATAAAATTTCTCATTGTAGAATTGATTGAGTTATTCAAAAAATCAGAGCATTAATATTTTCGAAATTTAAAAAATTGCGTATAAAAAATTCCAATAGAATTTTTCGAGTTTTGTGTGGGAATTATTGAACACGAATTTTTAAACTTTTTTGGTTTACATTACAAAATTCCAATGGAAGGAATAGAAAATTTATACCCCACAATTTTCATAGAAGAATGTAAAGAAGAATTCTAATAAATATTCAAAACCTATTGACTTGTTCTTACGGAGTAAAACGCAATTTCATTCTATACAAATAAATTATATTCTATATTTGAATAAAACGCCATTTTCTTTATACATAATACTTTATAGAGAAAGGAAAATTTCCCATAAAATAATTCGTTGATGTTAAAAAATTTGAATAAAAATATTGCATAAGTCTCGAATTCAAAACCAAAAACGATAATTTTCCAATTTTTCATACTCCAAGATAATTTACGGATGACGAAAATGCCATATTAAAAATACCTTATCATTTTCCAATTATAACGAGAACATTTTCATTGAAAAAATCCTCTTCGACATTTCTCTCCGACAGAACCACCGGATTCTTCAATAATTATTCAACTAACGGCTACTTTCCATTGATCTTGATTAATTGAAATGGTCATCTTCATTGTCGAATTAATTCAAGCAGAGATGAAGGCCGTGGAGGGAGAAGGATCACAATATGAGTTGATACTCTGTCAAGGGGTTGAATTCCTTCTGATGTGTATCATTGAAGGCAAATCTATAACCCCACAGTCTCATCGCGTTTGAGCATACACTCTGAATTTCCTGAACCTCTTCAAAATCCAAGTCATTTCGCCAGTGAAATGGTGCTGCCTTTGAATTTCTAAATGTACTAGAGACACCTCCTACATCACTCTTCGTGTGGGTCTCGAGGAAATGTTGGACATTCGGGTGAAAATCTAGGCCGTAGAATTCGTAGAGTTCCTTGGCGTGAGCAAATGGATCTAGGGACAAGTCTTCATATCTCATAACCCTGTAAACAAAATTTACGATTATGAATTTATCGTATTCATTCATAACGATATTATCTCGAAAACTCTGGCTTCCACTCGAAAAATAGTACAACACATTTTTTATAAGGTACATTCTAACAAAAAACTGACAGTAACTGCAATTCCTTATTTTTCCTTATTTCCCTATTATGAAAGTAGAAACATGAAAATGAAGTTCGCCCGAATCGAAATATCTCGAAACCCGTAGGACTAATTTCTCATTGGTCAACTCGAACTGCCAAATTCAAATTTAGGCTACACCAATAAAAATTTTTAAAAGTGGTATTTGGCGGATTATTTTTCCACTTGAATTTCAGCGGACTAGAGTGAATAGCATCGAGATATATTTTCGCAATCATGCCGAAGACCGGAAAACTCTGAAAGGCTAATTTGACAATTGAAATAAAATAATTGTAGAAAAATTCAATAAACAGTGAGATAAATTTATTTCTCATGAGAATTCCTTCAAATCGACTTATGTGGCAATTACATTTGGAATGACCCACTTTTTATCTATCTATCCGTCACTCAGAATATTCAACGTGAAATGCATTGAACGATGAGAAATATTTAAAAAGCCACTAGTGAATTCCGTCATAAATTAAAAAAAAACTTCAGAAATAAAAGAGGTAGACCGCCTGAGAGATAACTTGCGCGGTAATAATCTGAAATCCGAGTGTGAAAAATAATGGGAATTTACAAGTTTTGATGTTTTTTTAAATTAAACTCACTTGAAATTTCGTGGGTACTTTTGTGTCAACTTAACGGCAGATTCAAAGTCTGATACCATATCAGCACAAACTCTAGCTGGCTCCGAGCAATCTGGACTGGTTGGGCACCAATCCCTGTGTTTCCTTGACTGCAGTAAACCCCTCGGATCTCTAACCAGAAAAACCAGTCGAATTCCCAGACTATAAATAGATCAAAAATATAGTCTCTCGTTTCTCGTTGTTTATTTGGCCTCTGAATCGTCTAGACTGAGGTAATTATCTTACCTTTTATCTTCGAGAAGTACCTCAGCGACACTGAGTCGCAGTCTGACGAGTTTCATCGACTGGAATGGAAATAATCGACAGAACTTTGACACAAACTCTGGATTCCAGCAGATTTTTTTGTGATTTTGACACTGTCTCCACAAGTGAGTATTGTGATTGAACACCCATGGATGCGACTTACCAAAATTCAAATAATTATCTGCACAAAAAAGTGAACAACAAAATGTGAAAAAATGGTGAAGAATGTTACTAATTTCCACAACCTGACATTTTCCTTCAAAACCCATTCATCGAGAAATCTTTCCAGTGAGAGAGGTAAATTTCAAAGGTAAATATACCCTCATATCTTTTGATTCCCGAGATAATGCATTCCTTATGTACCTACAAATAACTGACGTGCCCCAAACGCAAACATAAATCATAAATCAAATATAAAACTCATTAAAAAAATAATAGTAAATGAATTATTTTTTGCAAAGAGAATAATTGGGAAGAGCAATGGAAAATAAAATGATAAATCTTAAATTGCTTGACGATAACTTAATTTCTAGGTCATACATCTTTGAAATATCAATTTCACCGTAAAAATAAATTTCGTAATGAAATGAACTTACCCAGTTTATGGTATTCACAATCAAACAACGCATAAATATTATAAATTGCCTCCTGGGCAAGTGGAGGTCCCCTTACTTGCACGATACCAAAGTCCAGCATTGGCTCGTAATGATAAAAATTAGCTGGATGAGCATTAATTACGTCACCGACAAATGTACTACCACTTCTCCATGTGGCAACTATCACACTCCTCATGGGTCTTCCACCTTTTTCCATAGTGAGCTCATCCAAATTACTGAAAAATTACGTAAACTGTTGAGAAAAAAAAATTCAAGGAAAATGTGAATGATACTGGAAAGAATGTAAAATCACTCAGAGAGGTCATCTACCTGATGTTTATCCCATATTTTCCTCGGGGATAAACGTAGTCCTCCATATCTCTCTCGATCATCCTTCGCTGCTGATCTATCACTTCTTGCATCTCCATGTATGTGAGATTGTTACGCGGTAAAAATACCTGAAATGGATAGTCAATTCATAGCATCAAGATAGATTTATGATTTTTTTTTGTGGATAAAGACTCTGTTGAGAATGGAAATACCCAGAGAATTACTGACGAGCTGCATTTATAAGAACAGACTATTTTCTACATGTAAAGAATATTCAATTATTCTGTTAATGAAGAATATTTTAAGAGAGCATCAAAACGGAGGAAGCAAAGCAATGGATTGTTAAATGACTAATAAAATATTATTAATTTATCAAGAATAGTTTGTTATGATGGAGGAAATTCTGGGAGTGTGAGGATTTTGTGATTACTCTTTCAGAAAATATTTTCTTTTACATTTTTTTTCAATTATGAACATTCTCTAAAGTCCTACACTTGGAGATTCGATTATATTATTCTATAACAACTATTATATTTGAGGTTCCATCAGAGAAATTTCGATTTTCGAGCAATCAAAGCCCTCAAAAATAAGATTTATCATTTGAAACTTTAATCTCTATTGTGTTTTGAAATGTTTTCCCTTTTAGATAAGGAAGGATGAAGCAAAATGAATTGATGAAAATATTTTTCTTTAACGAGAATATGAAACGATTTCTGTAAGAGTTACGACTTTGTAATATCGCGCCATTTTAAACGGACCAATAAGGAATCGTGGCTTCATGATTTCGAGATTTTCGAGATAATCGATTGTATCGAGCGTGTCCCTTTTAGAATAGGATTGCTGATTGGATAACAATTCACATGAACTTCATTGTATGGAATTTTTATTTACAAAATAATGGATTATATAAGCAATTTCTTAGTTATTGAAGAAGATTTGGAGAAAACAAAAAAGAGAAGAGCAGAAAAACGTCAGAAACCGTAAAAAATAAATAGGACATTGTTGTCTTCTATTGCTCAAGAAGATTTCTTTATGATATTTCTGGGACATCTTGCCTCCTCGTGAGCCACCTCTTGCTTTGCTTGCTGTTTGACTCAGTCTTTTCGGTGTATTAATTTTTTTAGCTTGCTTGTCATCAAGTTGATTCCAATAACTTGAACGTGTTACGATCATTGTTTGATCTGGTGCACTGGGTTCTCGAGATGTTCGAGCCTCCCAATAACTCCAGATCTTGGGCCGATTCGAATTTCACAGCCTCTAGGAGATAAAAATTTTTTACTTTTTTTTTGTCGTTTTTTTTGTTTTTTTTTTGTTTTTCTCGTTTTTATTTTCTCAATATCTTCTTTAATAACTAAGAAATCACTCACTTAATCCATAATTTTGTAAATAAAAATTTCATATAATGAAGTTCATGTTAACTGTTATGCAATCAGCAATTAAAAAAAATGTCACCGGGCCATTTTGCCCCACCCTCATATCTATCATTTATGTTACACCTAGCCAAACCTAATGCGTGAAAATTCTAGTCAGGTCTCCATGGAATTAAAAATAAATAAATAAAATAAATATATTTAATATCCCCACGTAATTTAAATTCAATATTAAATTTAATGATATTAATAAAAAACAGAGGGTCTTAAAGATGCTGTTGAATGAACAAACATCGTTGAGGAATCCAGTCTAATGAGTTTTTACGCTATAATATTGCACTTTTCAATTCATGAATTTCCATAAAGTATAATTTTCCTATTTTAAACGAAAATATTGTTCTCATTTAGGCCAATTCTTTCTTTTTTGGAATATTCAAATGAATATCATTTGAAATCCGTTTGATTATCGTAATTTAGGCATTTGTTGCGCCAACCATGGGCCAACATTGAGTCAATCTTACGCCAGCCTTGCACCAACACTGCAGTAACCTCGGATCAATCTTTGTCTCTCTAAATTATTCATTATCTTATTAACTACAATCTAAACCAGAAAATTATTTCAAAAAACGAAGACAGATATTTCAATAAAAATTATCTGCGAAAACCCGTAAAATTTACGAAATCTTACGAAAAAATTCTTAAAAATAAAGATTCGTGAAAACCCTGTTACAATTTCTAGAAAACGTAAAGTTACATAAATATTTCCTCTTTTGGTAAAAGACAGGGAAATTTACTGAACCCTTCAGATTTTTCTTTTACATTCCTATCCAAATTTACCTGAACCTATTCTCGCTTACGGGTTACGTGAAACGTTCCGTAATTTTACTTGAATATTTCTCTCCGTGAATTACAACGGAAATAATTAAAGTCGGCTGTTTGCATTGTAGTGCATAGAGTACGTAAACTGTCAACATCAATGAAAAATACCCAGTTATCATTGTTTATTGTTTTGTGCATAGAAACATGACATCTATCATTACCGATTATCAGTCACGAGTGTAATTTTGCGATAAGGCCGTTTAGTACCCGCAGATTGTGTTAGTCAAGGATATCCCAATAATTACCTCAACTGACTTTCTTTTTTTCCTTAAGATCTTCAATAAACCGTGCACTCATCATTATGCATTAATGATTTTTATAATGAATAACAAAAATTGTAGCAAAAAACCCGAAAAATTATTGCAAAATATATTAATCAATTTTTTTATTTAAATCTCGTTATATCTTACGATGAATAGACGGCAACACTGCGTGTTGATGATACATCTGAAAAGAGGATTTCACGAAAATTTTTACAGAAAATTATCATCAATACATTAATTTTTTTTCCCCAGTCCAATTCTATTCTTCGGTATTAATCAAGCACTGAAAAAGAAAAAGTTCTTGAAAAAGAACTGTGAAAAGAATTAATTTTTACAGCCTGGATAACCTGAAGTGATTCATTTTTATAATTTACTTTTACTTTTTACTTTACTTTTCTTTACTATTTTAAATAAATTACGTTAATGGTGGAATCATGTTGCATAGTGTGAGTGAACGTCAAGTTGCTAGATGAGAGGAGCCCTCGGATTCAAACAATTCAATATTATAGCCATCGGGGAAATGCGGAGTCTTCAATTTGATTTCTTCCACTTATTTGTTCGGAAACTTAGATTTATTTTTCTTTATAATAAATTCGATCTCGAATATGATCCTTATATTTTTTAAGTAATTTTTTAAGTAAACTTATATTTTTTAAATATTTTGATAAATATTCAAAAGTATAAGGGACAAACCTATATACGATTATACATATGAAATAATGAAAAAAAAAATATATATAGAAAAAATTAAAAAAAAAATAAAAAATAAAAATAAATAAAAAAAATAATAAAATTGAGGATGCGAGGGCGCTGCTCTTATAGGAACCGTACGTTATAATTTATTGTTTCGTAATTTTTTTTTTAATGTTGGGAAACCTGAGATGAAATGAATTTGAAATTGTACTGAAAATAAACATTTGACCCCTTTGCATAACCTTTGCCGATTTTCTGAAAAAAAAATTTTGTCGTCCTTGGATATCTTTAGTGTTCACAAAAGAAAATTGAATAGTGCGCATGAGTGATGAAGGTTTCATTTTTAATCATAAATCATACAAGCCAAGTCTTACTCTTGTAGGTCATATATACGCCGAGGCAAAAGCTATATATGCATATATAGCTATGAACGTGCCACTTGCATATGCTCCACAAATTAATTTTTGTGTATTATATGTTTTTTGGGTGATAAAATCCGAATTTGTTTTCTGACTGATGATCAGATAATGTATTCGAACGTTAATAACAATTGAATTGTTTAAATGAGAATGACTTAGCCCCATTGACCTATAGTGTAGAAAAATTTTAATTGAAAATTATTGTTTGGTTTAACGATTTCATTTTCGATTGATTTATCCTGAGATATTAATTAATGAGTAACAACAGACAATTTTTACCGAAGAATTGATTTCCCTTAAACATTCAATTTCCCTTCTCTTTTTTTTTGCCTGTATATAGATTCTTATTGTTGCTTGTATATTTTTGGAAAATCTTAATTAATGATTTGAATGTTGATTAATGATATTCAAATACTTGGACACCTTTTTTCTCAGAAAAACGCTTGATAGGGTTTTGAAAGTAAATCGTTTCTGTTTACGTCTTTATATTAATGTATGAGCATATTTTACCGTTTTTTCGCTTGAATAAACTAATTCACTAATTCGTGGTCTGGGAGCTTTGTTTGGATTTTTCCTTTTTGAGTGACTAAAACCATAGATTTTCGAATAAATAAATATTTAATGCAATCCAATTAATGGTTCAAATAATTGTGACGCGAGGACATATCTTCGATCACGTCTATTATATTTTTCTAAGGAGGATCCTTATTATCCTTATTATGAAAGTAGAAACTGTAAGAGTATTTTTCCCGGGTCAACACCCCGGGATAAGCCTCAAACTATTCTGGCTGCCGCCTCTATCGTTCACGATTGGGCGCCAGCCAGGTTTTTCTGGAAAACCTGACGGAAAACCAGCCGCGAAGGAATTTCGTCAACTCCGCGGACTTTCGGTGGCGGGTCTCACAATGCCGAGC